TTATTATCAAGTTTGAATAATTATATTAAAAATGCAAGTGGCAATACTTCCTTTTTATTTAAAAGCGTAATGGTTGCAATTTGATTTTAAATGTTGAGAGTAAAATTTGCTGTGTTGGCAAAATAGATTTAATGTGTTTAATTAATTTGAAAAATTATGATTACTCTATTATGAAAAATAATAGAGGTATATTTATACCTTTCCACTTCTTACATTTCGGCGGACTTTTCCGAGTATTCTAGTCGAAATAATTGATAATTTTGTACTGAAACTCTATTTTTTTTTGTTTTAAAACAATTAAAACAATTGTTTTTCGTAGCTATCTATACAATAAGTACATGTAGCTATGATTTTAGACAATTTAAAAATATGGGGTGTGAAGGATAACTATCCTATGATATAAGATTCTGTTATTCTCGTATTAAATTTTTAAATAATGTCATGTAAAAATTTACTACAATTTTCTTGCCGAGTTTTGTATCTGGAGCAGAAGTGGTTGATCTCTTATTCAACAGTTAGAATATTTGCATTAGCTTAACCTCTCATGAAGTATCAAATTATAATTTTAAATTGAACTCAATATTTCTTATTATTATATTAATGTATTAATGAAATATTAGGTTTCATATCGATTATATCTTTAGATTTTTTCGGAAAATCTCATTTTTCTTTCTCTATTCTCACTCGAATATTTTCATCAGGCGTCAAGTGCGCGGGTGAATGAGTGCTCCTCGGAGTTCTATAAAAAGAATATATTCAAAAGACGCGAAAGATTATCCTGGCAGCGTAGAAGACTTTGATAAAATAACACGTAATATCATTTTCTACCGGCAGTTTCGATATCGGAATATTGATAAGAATAAAAGAAGACACTGTCGCACGTGTATGTACTTTCGTATGCTTTCTAAAATGTGTGCCATGGAAGTTGTCCTCGTGCAGGATGAGAAAACAAAGAATTCGACGTCGAATGAAATATTTATTTTCCGCGATGAATAATTTTTGTTTGCTTTGTTGCTTCGTCTGCTTTTGAGTAGCTTGCAATAAACCATTTCCAGAAAAATAAAATTATATTTCCTTAAACATTTGAATATATGCTTGGGAAATATTAAAAAGAAAATATAGGTCATAAATATTCTGATTATTGTTTATTTAGAGATTTTACTCTTGAAAAAAAAACTGTTTGAACTACAAATAACGTTTACAGATGTTTTATAATGTAGTAATTATATAAACACCTATTTTGGCCTTTAAAAAGCGCCTGTAAGTATTGTAAATGATTCTTCAATTTTTCTTTCTCAATAATATTTTGATTATTATAAAATAGTTTTCGAATAATTTTTTTTCCCCAAATATAGTTTGGAAAACAGTTTTGGGAAATAACCATGGACTATAGTATTTGATTTTTTTGGGAAAAAAATGTTTGGGGAGAAACTATGGACAACAGTCTTTGTTTTTTTGGGAAAACAATCTTGGGAAAAAACCATGGAATCATAAAACCATAGTCTTTGATTGTTGGGAACAATTTTTTGGGGGGAGAAACCATGGACTATAGTCTTTGATTTTTTGGGAAAACAAAGGAAAACATAGCTAATAATCAGTTAATGAAAAAACATTAATTTCATTTAATAATAATTTAACTTATTTGTTTATTATTTAAGTACATGCTATAATTATATACTAATTGAAATAAAAGATAAAGTCATAGCATATTATAGCTTTAAATTTGTATAAGTACATTTTATAATTCTCATTCTGATACAAATAAAAGATTAATTTGTTTGTAGCAAAATATAATACGGGCTAATGAATTAATTAATCAAATCAGGCATTTAATCTCTTATGTTATTACTGCCTAATGAAATGGATTTTGTTCATAGTCATAGTTTTTCATAGTTGGAAGATATTTGATATTTTTGCAGTATGATCTTGCATAGTAACAGTGAACTTGACATATATTCATTTAAAGCAATTACTTCAAAATGACATATATTCATTTAAAGCAATTACTTCAAAAATACATTCTACTGAAAAACTTCAAAACATCAATTACATTTTAAAGATTTAAGTATGAACATTTTCTTACCCTATATTTGGAGTCAATTTCTTGTATCTAAAATAATACACTAAAATGTAGTACTCTACATTGTTGTAGGATTATAATTGGCTCTGAGAAATTACAATTATTGCTAGATTCAGTTTATCAAACAATTATATTTGTTGATATAAGAATACGATTTTGGACTCATATTTTTTTATTGTACCTTTTCTATTAGTAGCATCAATATACTAATTCACCAGCTCAGCCTTCCAATTCAGCATACATTTTGCCGTTAGCTTTCCCAAAAGTGGTTTACAATTTCCCAGTCTTATGTATCACACAGTCTTCAGACTTAACAATAACATCTTCAGAAGAAAACGAGAACAGACCAATAGAATCTTAGGCTCTAGTGTTCTTTGGAGGAGTATATATAATGATTGTATGCCAAACATGGTGCTCATATTTATTTTACCCAAAAACAATATTAGCACATTGTCTTCGGGAATGATGGAACGGCATCTCTAAGTGAAATGTCGAGTGAATTTTACTACGAGCAAAAAGCTTCTAGCTTGGTCAGGATGTTTGCAAAAGCTAAACGATACGAAATATTTAATTATATTTAACTTTTGGATCATTATAACTGGTGGTAAAATTACAAAAATTTGTTCTCGAGGACGGAATACATTTTTAGATTGTAGAATGAGGTTAAGTTGTAGAAGTAAATGTCACCCTTTCGTACGTCTCCCCTTATTCTTTATAGGGTATATAATTTTACCATAATATTATCTAGTGTTCAGTCTATATTAAATCTAGTATTCTTGGAGCAAATAAGCTTTATGGAAATTCAAAATTATATTAGATTTTGTACATTCAACTACGGATAGAACAATTTCATTTAATGGTCTATTATACCTGATATCGATAACTATATAGATATAGTTTTAGTAAGTTGTTAAACACCAGTTCCCATTGAATATTATGATGATAAACTTTACTGAGTCTTGTTAAGTCTGTCTTTCAGTAATGTAGAAAGTTCGAAATGGCTATATATTTAATTTGAATTGCAGTTCTAATAATCTCCAGCAACTAAAACTAAAGACTAAAAAATGATTGTAATTTTTTTATTTGTTTAAAAAAGTACATGTGATATGTTTATGTAAATCTTATATTTTATTTATTTTCGTACAAACTTTCTTGTGTATATATAGAAGTTTTTTCTGTTAATTTGAATAATCTCTGTGAATCTGTTCCTATTTCACGCAAATTGAATCTGGAAGATTAAATAAAGCTTGCCAAATTCTGCGCAAAACTTCTTAATTGAATATACACCGTAATTCAAAGTCAAGGTTTCTCGAAATGATATAAATGATGCAGATAACACAAAGTAGGAAAAACAGTTTTCTAATTAAGAAATTTTTGCATTTATATATAACAAATTTGGAAAGGTTTTAGGTACTCTGTTCTGAATTATATTATATGTTTAGAAATATAAAAGAATCGTAATCAACCAAGTGCATTTTTAGTGTACATAAAATAATTAAAAGTTATACTCACAAATAAGTTGTAGGTTATTATAATATAAGTTGTAGGTCAACAGTGAATCATAATCTGTATCTATAATAAATAAATGACTAATTTTATTTGACTACTTCAAGTTTTAATATATAATTAGTAGAAGTTTAAATAATTACTAAAAAATAGATCTCAAAAGGTCGTAATATTATCTAAAAATGTCTAGGTATTATCTGGAATTGATAAAACCTAAAATCATAAAATTCTGTTTCACTTTTTTCGATTTGAATCGAGTTTATCTTTAATACTTTTATGTATACAATATATTCTTGCGATTTTCATATATAAATCCATTTGTAAGACTTGAATTTCATTTATATGAATTTTATTTAAGATTATAAGAATTCTTTTCACTCTGAATAAAAAAATCAGAAATACATGATTAAAGCTCGAGGATATATTTATTAATATATCTGTCTTGCGAACATAAAATCATTACCAAGCTGATATCATCATTTATTTTACTAAAAGAAAGGAATTTCTAATTAAATTAATGTTTTCATTTTATATTTGATGTGTCGATATCAAATCTTTTAAGTAAATTAAAAACCAGATTTTAGTGGAATTCTATCAGGTTTTATATTTAAAACAGGGGAATTAAATAACATACCTTAAGAAGAAGATTATTGATTATTAGTTTGTTGATTTCGATAGATCATTGAAGCACTTCGTATATGATGATTTTCTTTATTAAGAAATATTTAACTAGTTATTAAAAAGAACACTTTTTTATAATAACTATATTATATATGTATTATAAATGACATGATGCATTCTGGGTTATATATAATACTAAGAGCTAAAAAATATTAATATATATATATATATATATACTTATATATATATATATATATATGTGTGTGTATATGTGTGAGTGTATATAATATAATTTACAAAAAGTTTCATTTATACGATTCAACAGGTATTCTATTTCATTAAAACGCCAGTAAACATCGTAGTATAATAAATAATGGAAAACTTTCATTAATTACCTTTACTTTCGCAAAAGGTTCAATTATTTATGACGAGCAAATTACGCTTTAAAAGTTCTTGAGACTGTTTAATATATTATTTATATATTTTCTACTATGTTACCTGGAATCGTATAAATTTCTTTTGCCTGTACTTTGAAAAATCAAATGAGATTACAGGGAGATAGCACATACATTTTGCTCAAAGAAGATTTTGACTTTTCATTTAACAGCGATGGGATATTTAGATTAATATAAGAGATTTTAAGACCAATCTCATATGGATCCTGTTATTAGTGTCGTGATTTAATTTTGTATCAAGCACAAGAAATTAATTATATGAAAATGATTTTTATTTGAAATATTCGCGTCTTGTGAAAGTTGTTAGTGTATTACAATAATTTATTCTTTTCTTTCAGAATTATCCATGAGTCGGGTTTCACAAGCGAAGACTTCAAACAATATCGACCAGTTGTTTACAGTAATACCATTCAATCACTGGTTGCCATACTGCGGGCCATGCCCAATTTGGGCATTAGTTTTGGGAATAATGAAAGAGAGGTGAGGACAGTAATAATTTATTTATATTTATATACATTTATATTTATGTATATTTCTATTCTCCGTACTTCATTACGTTTTCTCATAAAATCATAAATGTAAACTAAATGCTTAATATTTATTAATAATGAAAATAAAGTCAAGCCTAATAATTAAAAAGATGTAATCCAACAAAGTAAAGTATCTATGTCTGTAACTTATAATGCCAAGTTTTTTTTGTTTTTCTATTAAATAGAAATAATTAACAAATTTTAAGTGAAAAAGAAAATCATTCACAAGCAAACCAACAAATTTTTAAAAATATTTTATAAATAAATAATAGGGTATTACTTTCTATAACTTAGAACTCTAAATATTGATGCCCAGTTTCATCCATCTAATCTGGTATGATAAAAAATGATATATAACATTTTAATTCATTAAAATCATTTCTAGTTTTCCAAATAACATAAATATATGAAATATTTCATTTCATTATTCATCACTTAGATATATAGCATATCAGCACACTTTCATATAGATAAGATAACTAAATTTTTCACATGCTGAGTCATAAAAATGCAATAAACGATTTAATATAGAAATTACATATATGTACTCAATATTATATAAACCATAAATTTTAAATTGACCATTAATTCTTTATTTAAAATTCTATTTAATGCAGCATGCGGAAATAAATATATTTATGGCAGTGATAATAAAATATTTTTAGTTTTAAAAATCCAACGTGGTAGTAAATAGATATTTAATCGTTGTATTTTTACATCGTTGTGTATTTTAATAAACAGTTTAAAAATCTGGGAATAATATTTGCAGCTTGCAAACAATTAATAAAATCATTAATAATCAGGTTTTTTCATTCAGTTGTTTATAAATACATTTTTATATTTTGAGACAAAATCAATAGTAACGAGCACATGAAAATGAAGTAGAGAAAAACAAATTATGCACTTCTTTTTAACTATTCGTTTCGTTTTTCAAATAGATTTTGAACATTTGTGGAAATGACAAAATCAATATTTGAATCAATATTTTAGTACCAATAGTTTACGCTGAATTTAACACACTATTTACCCCCTATTTTATTTTTCTTTCACCCTTTGATATTTTTGCTCAAAATGCCACATACTTCTCAAAGCAGAATTGAAAAATTCTGTTGTGTAATATTTATCCTGAAATAGCAAAATAGTTGGAAGAGCTTCGAACAATTCTTTGATCTACAAAGTTAATTAAGTTCTACGGAGCATGCACGTCTGAACTTTTAAAAAAGTTTTTAATTGGAGACAAAGAAACTTGAGCTATGCCATTTAAAGGAAAAGAAAGTATTATATCGTTTTCAATATACTATTTTTGAAATAAAATTTTTTAAAAGGAAGGATAAAACGCTTTAAGTTTTATAGTGATTATTTTATTGCATTAACACTTTCTTGTCCCTGGCGATTTGAGTTATTTTTGGTGCCTTTTGCAAATTATAACTTGGAATTATAAAAAATTATTAATTAAAAATCATCTTTATTGTGGTGCAACATGTGATCATATACGCGATTTAGTGTTTCTTAGGTAGTATATTTATTCTGTTAGTGACTGATTTAATTATGGAATCACATCCATATGTTGTAATAATTTCAATAAGATTGTACCTGTACTTCTTTAATTAACATGTTACAATTATTTGGTAACCTAATGCTTGATTTTTTTTTTATTTTTTTTTAATTTTCATCTAAACTACAACTGCCTGAAAAGGCATTCAGTAATTGTTGTGATTAGTTATTTAAATAAGTTTTTTAAAATACTACCCATTAGTATAATAAATATAAATATGTGACAATAATTAATTCTCAAAATTATTCAAAATTTCGACACATACACAGGCTTTTTCATCATTTTATTTAACTGTACTGGATATTGAATCAGGAACGTTTTATAAGTATAAAATATGTATATTAAAATTGTATTTTTAAGTCCTCCTGGAGCTACTCTGTGGGCTATATGATAAATAAATAAATAAATAAATAAATAAGTCCAATAGTTTATTTTAATTACGATTTATTATTAATTTTATAATAGACTGTTTAATTTAAAGTAAGCAGCAAGTAACGAGCTTTATCAAGAAACAGTATTTATATATATATATTGGCTTAACGAAATTTTCTAAAAATAACTTTCGAAAATATCCTTATTCCTACTTAGGTCGAGAGTAAATAAAAGTCGATGCAAAGTATATAAAATATTAATTAATTTTAATATTATCATAATTACTTTTCTAATAAGTAGCTGTTGAGATTTTATTTGGTGATTATGTTAATATATTCGCTCGCGGTTCTTGTAAATGATCTTTACTGCTATTATCAGAACCTGTTTCCTTTTTAGGAAATTATATTGGATTTTTAAGACATCAAATAAGAATTAAAACCTATCTACATTTTCCTTCATTTTCGGGTCGTTCTATGGTATATACTTCACAGAAATTACAATATAATTAAAATCATTAATTCGAGAAATATTAAACTGCTTTTATTGTATAATGTTGAAAAAAGCACCTTCATTGGCACTTTAATTATGTATTACGTTTCGCAAAAATTAAAAATTAAAATTACTCGTAGTAAAATTTAAATATTTAACAAGCCTGCACGTGACACAAAATTACCCAGTGTGCAGTGTCGTCCAAAAATTTTTGTTTTGTAAAATCTACTTACATAAGGTTCTTAAATTTTGTGAAATTAATATTAATTGGTGATGGTTTTTTAACAATAAGTGTAAAAGTAACAAAAAAATTCTTAAGCCACAGAGTACTCTTTACAATTTGTACAAAAAAGTTGCTTAACTTTCAGTTTATAATGCTGATATTATATAAATTATTTAACTATCAGATATTTGATATCTAATTAGGCATATATTTATATTATGACTAATATAAATCAAATAATACATAATTTGTAATGCCATGCAATCTAAAACTAATCTATTTGTATTATATTACAATATTTTTTTATGTTTTGCTTTGCCACTTTTTTTATTTATTAACTATAATGGTCGTTGACTTTTGCATATGGAAAAATAAAATCATATGATTTTACCAGAAACATTATTAATTTTAGTGATTACAAACCTATTTATTTTATAATTAGATTTAATTTATTTCTCAGTTCTCAGAAATATAAATGACTGTGCAAATATTACTAGCAATAGATTACAGTCATCTTTAAAATAGCATATGATAAATATGTATACATTAACATATTATTAGAATTATTTATTGAAATTTAATTATCGATCTGTAATTGCAAGTTTTCTCTACCAACCATATTTTTTTTAATTTATTTCTTTAATTTTGTATAGTTAATACAAAATATTAACTTTTGTATAGTTATTTTAAAATATAGAGTGAATATTATCTCGTACAGTTTTGTGCGCCCATGGCATATAAATTTGTGTACTCAACTTATTATTATATTGATTATTGGTTTTCTCGATTGTTTACTTTGGATTGTTTAGTTTTTTTCATAATATAAAATATTCTCCAGGCAGAAGAAATTGAATGGTGTTTTAGTCAGAGAACCTTTCTCAAATTTAATCTAATTCTTCGTATATGTGTAAAAACTATTTTGCTGTAGAGCAAAATGCAAACAGTCCATTAAATGAAAATAGAATTAAACTCAGTAGTTTCTCCAGAGAATGAAACTCAATTTATTCAAGAACCTTGAAGTTCTATGCCTTCTGGGGTAATTAGAAGAAGTTGTGAGAACAATAAGTGTTTATTTTAGCAAATATATTCTGTAATATTTCTAAATAGTCCAAAGTTTTATTTAAATAATATTATTTTCTTCATGTTCTTTAATTTTTTAAAGTACCAATTTCATTGACTTGGTTTTAGATAATTCAATTAGATATATTTTCTACAATCTAGATTGTATAAATGAATATACAGTTATTGATGGAAACTAGTAATACATCATGCTTAAGAGAAATTGCTAGAACTGCTCATTATATATATAAATGTTAAATGCATAGAAATAAAATTTGGAATAATTCAGTTTGAACATTTTGATATTCTTGGCGATACAATTTAAAAATTATATTAGTTATTTATATTTTAATAATATAAGGATCTTGTCACCATAGCGCTTCAATGAAAATACTATCATCTATTTGTTTTATTGTTTTTAATCAAAATTATCCATAGTAACTTGATGTTTTGTTAGCAGATGTAACTAAAATTGATATTAACTAATAATAATATAAGAATTTATTTTTCAACTCAAAATGATTATAATTAAAGTATTTTTTTATGTATAAATACAGTCGCAACCGTTATATATTTCTAACAACTAATATAAAAAAATCTAATTAAATCGGTTTTCTTTATGCAGATGGCAAACTTAAAAATAAACCGTTTTTATTAAATGACACATAATAAATATATAAATGATGTATCTCGGATTTTTTATTAATTTTTTTTTGTTTCCTAAACAACATATATCTATGTATGTCTACTTCTATTTATAATTCTATTCTATTTCTCACCTATTTCCTACCAAAAATACATTAACAAAATGACACTTCGTTTTCAATTTAATCTAAATATAGTCTTCGTTCCATGAAAAAATGATAGAAAAACCATTTAGCATTGTTCATATTATATACATCCCAGAATATTGTGCGTTGATTATTCACACGTCAAGATACGTATAATATATACTCACAAGGTACATATTATAGTATGCGGGTATAATAAATATCCCCGAAAATATCTTCGCCTTGAATATTACACGAGACCATGTTTCCATGGGACTATATGTAATAATAGCTTCATCTTTTAGTCAGCCACTTTTTTTCCTGCATTACAGGTAAGGTGTTTTCGATGCGTGCGTTTCCACAGATATTTTCGTATAGATAATTAAATATTAATTTGAATAAATGTGTATTACAGTTTTATATATAGTAACTGTAACAAATTTAATAACCCTATATCTAGTTATTACAACAAAAATAATTAATGTTAACAACGAGCTATACATTTCAATTAAACAATTAATAAACTGCGTTATTTTCTAACAAAAATGAAACACGCATTCTTGCATAAAAATCAATTTTTTTGCTCAAGAGCGTTGGTAAACCGAAAAGTAGAAGTCCAAGGACGATTCTTACGACGAGAAAAAATCGAATAATTGCCGGGAAATCCCTAAAAACAGTCCTTTTCTTTTTCACATACAAATGTTAGTATTTTCATATTTTTGCCATCGGATATGGAATATTTACTCAAGTCAATGGAGCGTTTTGGGTCTGAATTTTTCTACTGTGCGCCAATTCGTATGAAATTTTGAAATTAGGTTTATCTTACTCTCAAGTTCAAAAGTGAAAATAATTTAGACTCCTTTGCCATTTCCCGGGGGAATGACATCCCTCTTAGTGGTGTAATTTATTTTTTTCAAAATAACGACGGATATCGATAAAAGAACTAATTGTAAGAAAAAAATTAATTAGGTAATACTTATAAAAATATGTAAGCTATTGTATATCAAGAAAAGTTATTAGTTATTATTTAGTTTCTGGCTTTCGTACTGTTATTGTATTTACGAGTATTTTTTATTTTCGGCATCAAATTTGAAATATATTATATTCCAGAGACCATCTTCTTTATTTTTTCTAACAAATATTACTATTCTTAACAATAAGTCACGCTGATGCAACTTTTAATATCTTTTATTTACCAAATATCCAATAGCGACTTCTCATATTTGATATGTATAAAAAAATAAATAAATTAGGTAATTTTTAAAATTCGAAAAATTCTTTTCACTCATAATACTTAACACACATAACATGTATAAGTTTTATGGCACCGTCTAAAAAGCTCACACCTTTGTATAATTTTAAGGTAAATAAGAGTTTACTCAAGATAATTTTTATAATATTTATTCTTATCCTAGACTTTATTAAAAATATTGACTCTTGAATTATAAGTGTATCATATTTACTGATAAATATAACAATGTGTGACTGTCTGACCTTTCGGATCAATTTCGGCATTTATATTTGCGCTTAAATATTTAGGTTACAAGTCTAGTCGGCTTTACTGCGTTTGAAATTAGTTGATGAAATTATAATTACTAAATGCTATTCAAAAAATTGCTGGTATCCAAAATATTTAATAATATTTTTGAAAGATTAGTCCGACGTTTGATAGGCATTATGTTTATGTTTATCGCGTATTTTGCACAATGTTTTTGTTTTAACTTGTAAATAATATTCGCAATCTTATGATAACATTATTATCATATTCATGCTACCAAAACATTTCTCCACATTGTTTTGATGGCCTCTTTTATAATCATAATATAAACGTCGAACTTTCTCTATAAGATAATAATGGTGTATTTTTGAGGTAGTAGCCAGAAGGAGTCAGCCGATACATATATTATTTTTTCATATGTATTTTAAAAACGGATATATGTTTTCACATGGAAATAGCCCTTGGCATTTCTGCATCAAATTAGAAGTCATTAGGGTTAGAGAAATTCCAATAATGAAAATACATATATCAAATATAGAGAAGTCCACCGTTGGCTTATAATTCTATAAACAGTTAGGAACTTTAAGGAACCTAACAATAAGTTGTGAATGCCTTTTAACACTAAACGTACCAGAGCGGTCAAATGACCGCTTTTGTAACTTTAGACGAAATTATTAAATTCCCGGTTTTTATATTTCTTCAACTTAAGGCATGACTTTTTCCATAATATAAGACAATTACAATATAAGACATGTACTACACGTATTCTTACCGTTGGCGGTCAAATAACCGCTTTTCAAATTTTTATTGCTAGTTGATTATTAGAAAAGGTTTATTGTTTATTTATAGAAAGAATATAAGGTTTTTGAACGCTATATCACTTTGTTAAAATAGTTACTTACATATATTGCAATAAACAATATGAAAAAAAAAGAAAAATTAACTTCAGTCATTTTCATCCTTGTTCGTTCCATTTTTGCATATGGTTTGTGTTTTTCGAGAACATGTTCCACAAACATATTTTGTGCATTTAACCCAGATATTTACAGTTTTATCCTTTTTACAATAATTATTTGTCACGTCTTTCTTATTTTAGAGATTTTAGAAAGGTAAATGACTGAAGTTAAATTTCCTTTTTTTTTCATGCAATATATGTAACTATTATGATGAAATGATATAATGTTCAAAAATCTTATATTCTTTTTATAAATAAATAATAAACCTTTTCTAATAACTAACTAGCAATGAAAATTTGAAAAGCGGTCTTTTGACCGCCACCGGTAGGAATAGGTATACATAAAATGTTGGTAGGTTTAGTGTTAAATACAATACAATTATTACAATTTCTAAATGAATATTAATTTTTATATATGCAATGCCAGATATAGGCTATGGGTTTTCTCTTGGAAGCATATTGCTATCTACATTTCCAAATAAAAGCCCATGTCACACTGCTTGACATCAGGCTTCGAAAAGCGGGCATAGAACCTGAACCTCTGATTCAAATTCCATAGCTCTACTAACCCACGGACGAGCCTAGAAATACTCCTCAGAGTATAATAATTAATAATATATAATAATAAATATTGGAATTGTATTATTACAAAATTATCACCAATAATTAAATATAAAAATCGCTAAATATAAATACATATAAGGCATATATATTTATATATATCATTTATGTAATCGAAATAAATTCATTACTGTTGTGAAATGAAATATTTTTTTTTGTTTTCAAATACAAAACAAAAAAATCTTCATCTTTTAATCATCAAACGAAATGCTCAATAAAATGAAACCATCTGGTGGGAAACGGAGTTTGCCGGGTTTGCTAGTATATACATATATATATATATATATATATATATATATATATGTATATATATATGCAATTTATAGATACTAATTATTCCAATGGTCATAAATATGTGATAAAAATGAATATGCACGCTTATCTAAATGGTATAGAAAATTTTTTATAGTTTATTTATGTAATTATAATTATGATTTTTATCACTGATTTAATTTATTTATATAATTATTTACAGAAATTATTTGACCGCTATGGCAGTCAAGTTGCCCCCGCAGGGGTAGATAAAAGGTTTAAAGTTTTATTTAAAAAGTTTGTTTGAAACTAAACCAAAAGCATTGAATTTAATTATTATTATTACATCGCAATATTAATAAATTGTTGATTTGATTTTAGTACTATTTTTGCATATTTTTTACACACAATATTTTATTATTTTTGATATGATTTTGTTCATTATTTAGTGTTGCGTAAGAATTTTGATGTGTGGTATGTTGTACCCCCAGTTTTTTTAAACTTGACCTTTACTACCATATCCAAATAATCTGCAGGAGTTTTGTCCCAGCATATTTTGGCATGGTATCTTCTGTATTTTGATATTAAACTAATATCGAATGTTTATTCGGCACTTAAATTTATCGTTGTGTTAACAGACGGACGGCAAAATGGTCTTTGACGTAATCCAACGTATGGAGGATACAGAAGCATTTTCCGAGGAACTTTTAGCAGCTATGAAGCGACTTTGGTCCGACAGCGGGGTACAGAATTGCTTTGGACGGTCCAATGAATACCAATTGAACGACTCGGCTAAATAGTAAGTGGAATTATTTTTTATTTGTTATAAAAAATATTTATCGTCAAAAATTGAGTAAAACATTATTAGATACCCAAAGATAATTTTTTTTCTCTTATTCTTGATCCATGAAGTCAAAAAAATATAAATACGTATTCAAGATTTTACTCTGGTTCTGTTGAATAGAGAGTTCAACGAGAATAGAAGGACATGCTTATGATATATTTGAATAAAAGTGTAAACTTAATATTCAAGTTTTGGCCCGACTAAAATTTAATTAAGAATTATATTAAATGAAGAGTTTTTTTATTTACTGTTTTATTTGGGTTCGAGTAACAATAAAATCTCATACAATACTTCAAAGTTAACACTTTAATTTTAATTTTACTTAAAATCTGATAGTTTTTATTTGTCACTTAAGATGATAGTTTTCATTTATTTTCAATGCAAACAATGAAATGTCGTTTTTTGCATTTTTTCCATTTATTTCTACAATATTGCACATACATCGCAGTACTTTATAATCACATACATCCTAGAAAATTTCCTTAACAAACCTCAGAAAGATTTATCAAAATCCGAATAATCGTTTAGGAGGAGTATACAGTGAGTGCTTGTAATTTGATATGAACTTTATATAATAGCAATAAAGCTCAAATTAATTCTACGTTTAGTTAAAAAACGTTTATATGTGAAAAAGAAAAGGGCTGTTTTTAGGGATTTAGTTAAAAAACTACTTTAACATTCCACATACCATAACAATATGCTTAAATTGATTGTTTTTTTTTTATAAATTTGCAAGCATAGATTTCATTCATTATAAATGAAGTGTTATTAATAATCTTATAACATTAAAACTCTTATTAATAATCTTATAACATTAAAACAAAATTTTGATTGATTTAGATTTAATCCGTGATACATTTTTCCTGTTGACAGATTTTTAAATATTTCTTTAATATCTAAGTAACTAAGGCTCAATTTAATACATAAGTCTTGAAATTTCATATATACAACAATTGTTGAATTCTGTAGCAATAAATATAAATTATTTGGTTAATCTTAATAATAATGATCTTGATAAATTTTTAGTTAATTTATGAAATTTTAAATATCAGAGCGTTGGCAGTATTTTGTGCACCTCGTTCATAATTTTAAATTTGGGAAATATTTAATATATTTTTATCGACAAAATTTTATCTTGAACTTTTGCGTAATTCCATAATTTCATTTAGATTATTTCATTTAGAACAGTTATAGATAGCTTCAATATTTAACAAGTCTTTCGTTTACGATTTAGCCAGAATTGCTAAATATATACTGATTAAATTTAAATGCTTATAAAGTATAATATCATCATCCTCTAAAACGGAACTTTTAGTTAACATGTCATTTCAATTATATTTATAGAAAACTTACAGCTTTATTATCAAAGGTATCTCATAGCTTTATTACAAGTAATTCATTTCGAATTTAGACTGTATTGCTAGATATACTTTGATTAAATTCAAATGCAAATTAATAAATTATGTAATTAATGTTATCATTATTATTTAGACGTTTGCGATGTCGATGATTAGAACATAAACATGTTTATTTTGACGTAATTAATATGTAATTTATTTATTACAATTAATTTTGAATTTTACTGTTTATTAACAAGTGCAATTTTCCTAAACAAACGTCTAAATTTTCTACGAGTATTTTCGCTCGATTTCAATGTATAGTCAGGAGTATTTATTTCTTTGGATGAACTATTGATGATGAAACTTCTAAATATGTTTATATGTTTATTATTTGACAAATATGTAAGTGTTTCACGCTTAAGGATAAGAAAAGGTACCAAGGACCGTATTTTTGAATAAGGAAGTACGAAAACACAATTTTTGGATGTATATCCAATTGTTCCAGATCTTATTATCTTATAAAATATATTTGAATCTTAAGTTCAAAGTTTTACTCAATTTTTGGTGATATATTTTACATCAAGTTTATCTATGCACATTTTTTTGATTCAGAATTATGATATATATGATCGTTTTGGGTAGCAGATCTATTGATTGTCTTTAATAATAAATTGTAAAGTGCCTTTTTTGACGTAGAAAAATTAGTTTTTTTCAATATAGTAAAGCTAATTATGCCTAACAATCGAGGCATAAATAAATTTGATGTATAATATTTATTACAACAATATTATATGTGTATGATATCACGTACATTTGTGTCAGTATATAATACAATGGGTTAATCTCATATGAGATACTGGTTGCTGCACATCAGTCGTAGATTTTGCCCGTAGCAACTCGAATGCAAATATCTGTTTATGACATTTCAATATACCGATACGTCGAATTTCATTTTAAATATTTATATTCTAAATAAATACCTTAACAGATTTTGTGCTTTATGAATCTGGCTGTGCTCTACGATCGTTTTTCTTCTATAATAATATTTATAGGATTCTAGGAATTATAGTAAAAGGATTGACTTCATCACGTATTTTAGATGTTATATTTAACTTTATTGTTTTATAGAATAAACTTCTATCGGGTATCCGAATTTGGTATAATATTAGCTAATAAATACTTTTGATGATAATAATTCAAACAAAAAATAGATTTTGAGTTATTTTATGATTTCAGAATTTTTCACTGCCAGCTCTATACTTTTGGCTCCTTCGATTTATTTAGAAGAACATCATTTTTTCCGAAATTTTGTTTCAAACTTTCATACATTTTATTTTCTTATATGAGATTAATATTTACCTATATCGGAAAAAGATATAAAACTTTAATTATATAATTTACGTATTAAACCTTATTTAATAAACATTTGCGTAGACCAATATTTCTTGCTATTGATTTGTTTTGCATCTGAATTACTTTCAAATATATAATAATATTTGCTTTTATGTTACTTTAGTATGTAATACTTAAAAGTTTATATAATAGATGCATATTTTTTTAAGTTATTATTATATTTTTATTGCACATTTTTTACAATATTTACAGTAAATTACTAATAGAATGGCGTTGGATGTTGATGAATTATGATTTATGAATAATTTATTGACTAATGGCAATATCTATAATTTTTCAGTATCTAAATACTTTCCCTCTATTCTCACTAAAATAATCATTGACATGATAAACCTAAATTTTACATTTTTGATAATTCTCATTTCTAATGATCCAAAATGTTTACACAATAAATACAAGCAATATGCTTGCAAATATTTTTTCTAAAATGAGTGTGATGTATTTTAAATATAATAATAAATTACGACCTAACATGATATATAATATCTAAGTGAATTATTGCACTCTATGTAATTAAATAATTAAATATGCGCGAAATTTCTAACTTAATTCAGTTAATTTGAATTTCAATGGCTCCACAGGAATGTATGTAGGGGATACTTTGTATGTTAATTGTCCATAGTTGTACTGGACGTCATATTTTCGGAAAATCTGAAATGAAACAACCAAATGTATAAAAATATAATATTATGTTGAAACTACTAATCATATAGTGATACATAATGCTACAAATTGATATTGCAGGGTGTAATTTTGATATTTCAATTCGATTAAAATATAGTGCATATATGACCTCAACGTTCCTTCATTTAATGGAATACTTTTTAATAAAAACGTTATATAATTAAAAACAAACATTTTAAACTTAATATATTACGCTCTAATTTACGTTCATAAAGCTACACTCGAGCTATATAATTTGCCGTTTCTTCTTCGACATTTATAATGAATTTCTGAAAGCTAAAAGCTCAAAAGCTCGAGCTCTTTCTAGTTGCACATTAATTGATTACTGTAATTTTAATACAAAATATTGAGTAAATAACTTTTTGAGCTACACTTGTGCTATAGAAATTGCCGTTTCTTCTTCGATATTCATAATGAATTTCTGAAAGCTGAAAGCTCAAAAGCTCGAGCTCTTTCTAGTTAAGCATTAATTGATTACTGTAATTTTAATACAGAATATTGAGTAAATAACTTTTTGAGCTACATTTGTGCTATAGAAATTGTCGTTTCTTCTTCGATATTCATAATGAATTTCTGAAAGCTGAAAGCTCAAAAGCTCGAGCTCTTTCTAGTTACGCATTAATTGTTTACTTAAATTTTAATATAGAATATTGAGTAAATAACTTTTTGAGCTACACTTGTGCTATAGAAATTGCCGTTTCTTTTTCGATATTCATAATGAATTTCTGAAAGCTGAAAGCTCAAAAGCTCGAGCTTTTTCTAGTTAGGTGTTAATTGATTAGTGTAATTTTATTACAGAATATTGAGTAAATAACTTTTTGATGCTTATTATGATAATTAGTGATGTTGATAGCTATTATGATTTTGTGTAGTATTTTCTGCAAGATTTCACATAGAGTCGTACAGATTTATTGCTTATTTATTCTATTATCTTAATGAGGATTCTCAAATCGAGCGATTCAAATTTTTATAATTTTGGATTGATTTTGTAACTTTAAAATATTACTGATTACTTCTGAATGCTTTTCATACAATTACACTATCTAATAATAATGTTATTTAACTTAACAAATACCAATAGTTTTCGAGCAAATATTGATAATAAATAATCCAAAACCTTATTTAATAAATAAAATTTTATTATAATAACTATATACGAATATGTAAGAACTGAATATTGATTTTCAGTTGCTCTCGATAACTGATTAATATTTTATAAAATTTTAAAATCCTTCATATAAACATCATTGAAATATTTACCTCTTCATTAGATTATTTGCACTATAGCATTCAGTTTAATTGTGCTGTAGAACGACATGAATGCTATAGCATTCAAATTTTAAAGTCAATTATTTAGAATTTAATTTAAATAAAATTACGTTTTTGTAATTATGCAAAATAGATTATCATGGTTATGACTCATGGTTATGATTCTTTAAGTATTTTCGTATTACCTTGTCTTTTTCTGTAGTCACTAATTAGCTTAGGCAACCAAGTTCCGTAAAATAGATGCGTAATACTTGACGTGAATGCTATAGCATACAACGTATAAGATACAAGCGATTAAAATATGTTAATCTGACTACCCTTGATTTCGAATCTAAATTTGGATATCACATCCAATTTAAAAATAAAATGACTCAATTTTTGTACCGAAGCTTTTACAGTCCGCAAACGTGTTAAGATGAATCTAAGTTTTATATTATTACTAATTAAAGATTATTAGATTAATCGAGATTTTAATTATTTTAGTCACTAATTAGCTTGGGCAAGCAAGTTCCGTAAAATAGAAGGGTAATACTTGACGTGAATGCTATAGCATACAACGTATAAGATACAACCGTTTAAAATGTGTTAATCTGACTACCCTTGATTACGAATCAAATTTTGGATATCACATCCAATTTAAACATAAAATGACTCAATTTTTGTACCTTACCGAAACTGTTACTGTCCGCGAACGTGTTAATATTAATCTAAATTGTATATTATTACTAATCAAAAATTATTAAATTAATCGAGATTTTAATTATTTTACTAACCTTTGCTAATAATATTTGTAATTCCGCTTCCGCAAATCTTCTGCCCAAGCACGTCCTCCTTCCATATCCAAACGGAAGCGAAACGAAAGGATGTATTTGATCTTCCGTCCTGGCCTCCTGGTCGGCGTGAGGGCATGCATTCCTGGCCTTTAACCATCGTTCGGGCCTAAATTGTTCTGGTTCTTTGAAATACCTCTCCTCGTTGCTCACAACGTAGTGAGGGAAAATCACATGGGTCTAATGGGAAGAGATTTATGTTCATTGTTACTTGACAGGAGGAAGGAGATATAGTCAAGATATTTTTGAAATGAATATAATATTATGAATTCAGGTGGTTTGTAACAATACCGATAATTTGTAAAAAAAATTAATTACCCCTACTATAAGTAGAGGGAAGTCCCCGAGAGCCGGACACCTAAGGTTATTTATAAATAAATCAAAAAATATTTTACGAAATGTTTATTAAATTATGATTTATGTTAGATAACAAAGTTAGAAATCAAACTAAATTAACAAAAACGCAATCTTTGCTAAACAATAATTAATACTATCCATCAAACTTTGGTGGATTTTACAAAGTGGCACCTAGTACCGGACATTTCAAAATAACCAGCATTGAACACATATGTAGCCATCTCTACATTTGTGTTTGACGAATATTCTTAGATATTGCAAAAAAATCCTTCCCTATGCTAATCTAATCCAATATAATAATTAATAATTGGTATATTCGATATTAATTGATAGATATGGTACTTTTAAGGAGATAAATAATGACTTTTTAAGCTTGCTCAAAAAGATGACTATGTTGATCAGCATTTTCATTTTTGATCAGTAAATCTGCTTTTAATCTATATTTATATACATATTATTCTTATTTATTGTCTTTATAAATCTTCAAATAGAATATTTATTCTTCAATTACTTATGATACATTTTATAAATCAATCTATTATTATTGTTCCTTACGTTGCGCGTGTGTTTCCGACATCTCCGCTCTTACAAATATTTATTTTCACAACATTTACCACATGGCCATCAATAAAATTATTTTCTTTTCACACCTCATAGTAAAACTTAAATTTTTCTTGAAAGGTAACTTGCAGAATTCATCAATCTTTCTCTTCCAACTATTTTATTTCAAACTTTCACATACAATAGCATGAAATAAAGTTGCAAGTTGTATTTCAGATGGAAAATATGAATCTTTTACGGACATCCCGAACATACGTGCACATGTAATTCATTGTAAAAAGTCGGCCAAAACTTTATATGCCTCGGGAATAGTAGATTTTCCTACAATACTAGTATTATGTATGAAGCGCTCGCGCACGTACGAACAATGGAATAAACGCTAGTTTATCTTCTACAAAAGCAGGCTGAGGAGAATTTATGATTTAGCGTGACCTAAGGATGCGTTCCAGTTTTGGCTCTATTCGCTTTTGTGGTTCGACACTTATTTATGCTTAGTTTTATGGTCAGAGGGATCGTGGGAAGACTTAATATAAAAATTTACTTGGCTCTATCTTTTAGTTCTAAATGGTATTCTCAATTAATTCTCAACTAATGTTGTTTCCTTTGGGTCTATCCAGTGCCAATAATGAAGTGTTATTTATTAGATTCAATAACTGATTTATGTTTATATCTATTGATAACTCATATGTTGCTTCCACTTCAGGCGCTTTATTTAAAAAGACTTGTAATTGTGGTCTAGAAATAATACCTATTCAAACCCTTAAACGGATTATCTGTGGAACGATATCTAATATTAAAAGTTCTACTAACTGCAACATTTTTACATCTTGGGGGGCTTCCATTAATCACGTGATGTTTTTAGGGGGAGGGGGGGTTTGAACAAAAATCACGAAATATTACGTGGGAAAGGGAGAGGGATATAGTAAGATATCACGTGTATTTTTTTAACTAATTTTTTTAAAAAAAAGTTCAAACATTTTCAAAAAAAAAATCAAAAATGTTTTTTCACTTAACTAAATAACACGTGATGTTTGGTGGTGGAGGGTGGCTAATTTTGAATATCTCAATGTATCACCAAGGGGGAGGGGGGCTCCAAAAATCCTTGAAAACTCGTTCACGTGATTAATGGACAACCCCCTATATGTAATGGCTATGGTATAAGCCATTGTTTCATTAACTTACCCAAGTATTTGTTACATAAGCTATTTTAAGATTTTTTAATTTATATCAATGATTCAAATGTGTTTATAACTTAAAAATTACACTTCCAAATAACAAATTTATTTAGTGATTTAATGCAGAGTGATAAAAATTAATGCAACATTTAATTTGCTGGACTTCTTCTAAGGCGATGTCTATGTAGCGGAATATCTATTCAAAACCTTAAACGAATTACCCATGGATGTATATGTAATTTCTCAAACTTTAATAACTGTGACATTTTTATATATTTATTTGATGTCTACAGTAAAATTTAGCCATGTCACTATTTCAGACAGTGACTTTTCTTTACGAGTGTATTTTCTGCAGATGTGACGTTGCTGTACGAGATATCAACCGTCCAATTAAGATTTTTTAATAATTATCAATAAAAATGTATTCAAAACTAAAAAATTACACTAAATAATGATTAGAATTCTCAATAATCTTTCGCACAGTGATAAAAACTGAAGCAAAATATTCGACTTACTAGGTGTAGTCTATAGGCTACACTCGTAACCAATAATATTATTTTTTTAGTATGTATAGTGTGCTGAAGTAGGATATATTAGGTAGTGTCACAAAAATAATTATTTTTTATTATTATAAATAAAGTTCCATTCTATGTTGGTTACACGTTCAGAAAACCTTCTACATAAAGTACGACGTCTGTTCAAAAAGTACCCGGAATTTTCGTTTTTTCAAAAAAATATTTATTTATTCGTCTACATTAATGTGGTCCCCTTCAAAGTAGTCCCCCCCAGATATAATACACTTATGCCAGCGTTTTTTCCAATTTTCGAAGCACCCTTGATATTCACTTTTTGATATGTCCTTGAGCACTCTCAGCGATTTTCTTCAATCGAGGAAAACCGCCGTCCTTTCATGGGTCTCTTCAACTTTGGGAATAGGAAAAAGTCACACGGAGCCATATCTGGTGAATTTTTGCACTTTGCAACACTTTATTTCATTTTTTACGCAAAATTTAATACAAATTCTTTGACTTTTCAATTCTTCCATTGTAAAAATCGCCGAGCTCAGAAAAACACGTCGAACCTTAGCGACTACCACAGACAAAGTAAACAGTGAATATAGCTGAAAATTTCATCATACTTTAGGGGCATGTATACCAACACAATAAAAAAAAATTTGACAATCAGACACTCCAGACCCGCGAAATTTAATTATTAGTAATTCCGGGTACTTTTTGAACACACCTCGTATGTACGATCAAGTTAGGATTTTTAAAAAATTATGTACACGTAAAAGATTTATATATTTCCATCTGAAATACAACTTGCAACTTTATTTCATGCCCTTGTTTGTGAAAGGTTGACGTCAAAGCTCTCGAATAAAGAGAAGTAATAACTTTTTGACAAAATTCTAACTGTTATGATTGCTCGCTATATCGAAATCTTTCACCAGAATAGATATTAGTTTTCGCATTTATTTGTCTATTTCTATCACGAAGGAAAATTTTGTACTGCAATATGTCAAGTAATTTGAAAATGCTTTTTCTGAATAATTTTACTATAAATAAAATAATTCTATATCATTTTCCATATTCCGTAAGCCGAACACGTAACACATGTCTATTTCAAACTTGTTTATCCTACGGATTCTGAGCGTCTTGCTGTGTGCGCAAATGAAAATAAGTAGTAATGTGTGCGTATCGAATAGAATCGCCCACATTTGCCCAGAGATAACCCGAAGTAAAAGTTCTTCAGTCCTTTTAGCAACACCCAATCCGCACAAAACGGCCTTTCTTTGAATAATTTATTGCCGTAACGGGTAAGTTTAAATGGGCGCCTGTATATATTCATAGACGAAACACTGGTGGATGTTTAGCTTACATTATAACACAAAATCACTCATTTTTCTAAAACCAAGAGTTTTTATAATTTATATCTCCTAATTTATGAAGTTCAAACATTTTACGAGATTGTGTTTTGGGTGGGTATTTTAAAAAGCAACCAAAATTTGCTTAAATTACTTCTGAGTTGAATGAATGATTTGTTTTCCGAAAGAAGGATTACTAAATTTGCTGTATATGTTGGATATTATAAGAAGTAATTTAGGGGCCAATTATGTTTTAAAATAGACCAATGTTATGGCAAGGCTATGTTACTCTACGAGTTTTATATAAAATTGTACTAAAAACTGGCAAAATTCTATGTATTTGTTATGCCATCAATCGTTTTACACATAAACTCCACTCAAATTAAGTGAGATTCATTTTTTGATAATGCGCATTTTATATCTAAAATGCCTATCTGCATTTTGACAGTTTTTAGTACCATTTTATATGAAAAAAAAAGCAGTGTAACATAGCCTTGCCATAACATTAGAGTATTTTTGGCAGAAATATCCCCTTCATTTTATTTTAAGACCTGCGTTCCATCTAAAAGCCCTTTTCGAGTATTACGTATATATCAAATGGCTTATTGAAGCATTTGTATCAACTTGATCACAAATTATTGCAGTATCACAGAATTATAAGACATGTGGTTCAAGTACTAATATTTGATATTACTGAAATTGTATACTTATATCATATAAAATTTGAAGAGCGATAGTGAATAATAATTTAGAAAATGCATATCATTTCTGCAGAGTAATATAGATTGCTTTCTCCTTCAGCTCTCTGATTATTACTAGCTTGAAAGCTCTCGTTTCGTTGTCTAAGCACAGAATTGAATTAATATTTACTCTCATGGCCATTACTGTAAACGACTTCTAAGAAAGTCCGACGGTCAGCTTTATTTTACTAATTGGAAAATTGCTACACAAAGTCTCTTACTCTGGTAAATAATTTTGAAGCACAATGTTAAATTCATCCTTTGATTAAATATTAACGTGAGCATTTCTGAACGTAATTGTTGTTGTAACGAGTTTCTATTATAATTGTAATATTTAAGCAGCATGTGAAGTTGAGAATTAATTAAAATATAGGTGGAATAAATAGAATCACTTACGCCTTTTGGAACTTTGTATCCGCCTACGACTGCTTCTGACTGCAAGCTTCTGCCATTTCCCAGAATAACAGGCTTCATTCTATAGAAACAAATAATATGTTAATATAATTATTCTCATATATATTCACATACACACACACACAAACACATATATATATATATATATATATATATATATTTATATAGTGAGTACGGTAGTGACAGTCATCATAAGAGTTAAACTATACTGATTTTGATATAGGGACCAAAGAGAGAAACATGAAGTATGCTTGTATAAACAAGTTTCCATTATTGCTTTCAGTCAGTGCTATTTTTTCAGTTAGCGGATACTGGTCATCTTTTTTTTAATGTAATTTGTTACTTAATTGTGAGTACACCCGTAACTTAATTTAATTTTTTGTGTTAAATACTTTTTTGTAGCATTAATTAAGTTTATGTCTATTGTTATCTATTCATTAGGCACTATATTATCATGTCGTTGCAAAAAATCCTATAAAAACGATACTAAAACAAGCCAGACTGCAGAAGACGTCACAAGTCGATAAAAAGTTAAATAGAATAGCAGCCAACGTCTTATATTATACATCCCACTCGTTTTTCGCCTTCTACTTATAGATAGCATCTTGTACATTAGGAATACAAGTACTCTTCGATTCAGGTGGGAAAAATCTCATTATATCGATAAGGAGTTCGAAAAGGATCATTTACAAGTCATTACTGAGACGCTATAAATAAATATCTATTCTTCAATATTACATGTGGCTTTTTGTGCCGAATTTCTTTGATATTCAGTTGCATATTATCTTAAAACAGCATATATTTTTAAAGATTTATGAGCAAATTTTAATTCAAAATATTACATTTAAAAATTTAACGTAAATTTATAATTAATGATATTAAACTGGTTTGTTCTACTTACTGGTTTGGTAAAAAATTAATTGTTTTTGTGTTTAATCATATGGAAAGCGTCTATGAAAATTTTAACCAAGTACTTGCCATTATTTTATCATAAGATTTAGAACATTTTTATCGATTCTCAACATTGCTCTATATTAGAAATCTAGGAAATGAAAAGTTTGTTATTTCATTTGACAATATTTTTTTCAAAAGTCAGAATTTTCATTTCATTAGAATTTTACACATATATATGTCCTATATATAGGACAGAAAATAGTTTTTGCGTCATGAATTTATTTTTGCAACTGGATGGGTTCTATTTTTCCACATGTTGAAGAAAAATGCGAAATGGAAATTTCATTCTATTTTCAGAGACATAAAAAAATATTTGATGTGAATTGTCATTTTTCCTACTAGGTTTACTATATGCAATAACGTTGAAGGAAAATGAGGAATGAAAGTTTTGTTCTATTTCTACAATGCAATACAATATCATAGCTATAATAGAATTATTTTTGAAAGAATTGTCATATTTTCTACTAGTATTCACCACTTGTAATAAATTTTTCTTAGACTCTTATTGAAAAAAGTTATCGAATAGATAACTATTTTATTTAATCAAAAAAAGAAATATGAATTTTAGCGTGGGATGGGAAACTTTTTTTGCTTACTAAGATAGCAACATAACTTGCTGATGATTCGCGTCAAGAAAATATCTGAAAAAGTAACCGTTGGAAATATAGGAATTGAATTGTTATATTATGAAATTGCTCTGACTGTAGTCCCAGGCTTCAATCTGGCAAGAACTTTTGGAACAACTTTTTGACCACGGTAATTTGAGAGCACAATTAATGATAGTACCTATTTTCATACTAGAGGGGTGGTAGGAGTGAAAATTTAGATACCTACCTGATCAAGTAGGTTTTTAGTATCAGTTTGTTAAAATGCGATTGTTTATGTTTTTAATAATTTTGACAGCTAAGAAGCTGATGGAGTTGTTTTGTTTTTTTTCGAAAGTGAACTGAATATGTTTGTTAAAAGAATTAAACCAGTGGAGTAATAAGTCAAAATTTCGTGGAAGTATACTTAGTATCTACATGTACTGTATTTATTAATTGGTCACATATTGATTGACTGTACTCTTATTCATAAAAATTTAGGATATTAAATACTAAGGATAAGGTGTATCAACATGTATCACAATCTGTAATCTTACTCATGAAAATTAGTATATTGGAGTAATACAATGTATTTTTCCGCCATTACGGCGGCATCCGAATCAAAAGGGTTAAATTCTTTAACGAAACTAGCGAATTAATTTTACACTTTCTAAATAATTTGCCTATGCATACAAAAGATCTAGATCTAGATCTAATTGTATCGCACAATTAATGAGTATCATAGAACACATGATTATATGAAACAACTTTTCACTTTTCACGAAACATTTTCCATAAATTCGAAACACACGTTTTCGCATGGTCAACATCTTATACTTAGTAGATTATTATGAACGAGAGTAATGTTTCCAACTAAAAACAGTAGATGTGCTCAAATGACCATGGTGAAAAAGTAGTGCATTCGTCTTTTAACTAATTCCTTGTTTTTATCTATATTTTTTAAATTTTTGCTTATATTCGATGTAAAATAATTTTACATCGACTCTATATTCTCTGGTCTACCCTAAACATACCTCAAAGCCTCTTTGATGCAGGCTTTCAGATACTGCATCTTTTCCAAAGCCTGAACATCGATCGGGGTGCCCGGTGTGGGTAATATGGATTTCAATTCATCGCGTAGTCTCCTTTGCTTCTCCTGGTTCTGTGATAGTTGATATATGGTCGTAGTCATGGCTACAGATGTCTGAATATGAAAAGACCAGGTTGAATTAATGGCTGAAACATCGACCGATAACGTATATGTACTTTGTGAAATAATATGATACATGAAAAATTCGTGACGATGGAGAATTTGGAAAAAGGTCGATGGCATTTGGTATAAATGATAGCAGTTTATGTACATCGTACATGGTATCGGATGACATAAAAGATAGTTTTCGTTTGTATGTATTTATGTATTCTAAAGACAGATGATTCTATCAGATGACATAAATGATAGTATTCGTTTGTATGTATTTTTGACTTTAACCTGAAGTACTAGAAGTATATCTTGCATATTGTGAAAAAAATTAAGTTACATTACATTTATACACCATGTGCGAACACGTGTGTATTCCATGTTGAAACATATATGATTCCAATAAATTAATAGCGAATGCTTTGAAATAAAATATAAAATTTATTTTAAGCTGTACGTTTCAAGAACCATATGTATCTTATCATTCAGGTAAATTTATACAACAATAAATATAAATTTATGATAAAATTCTAATCAGAATCAGAACCGCTCAGGAAAAAATTGTACTGTATTGAAGAAAAAGCTTTAAAGCTTTAAATGTTTAAGATGTTAAAGATGCTTTTTCTTCAATATAATTGTATTAGTTTTTTTTCTGATTGCAATGTTATTATTAATAAATTGTGTTATTATTAATTTTATACTCATTATTGTATATTTTTAGCTGAATGCGGAGATGCATACGTTTTTCTACACCTAAAATTTAAAATAAATATAGTTCAATTCGGTACATTAACTGTTAAATATATACACTAGGGTGGTCCTTATAATGGACATTTTCGAATTTCCTAGCTCCCAAAGGCACAAATGGTTCCAAATTGATAAAAAACAATTCCTTGAAAGTTTTAGCTCTTAATATTAACTTTTAGATAAACCGCAATTCAATAAAAAATTTGTATGGAAATGGCATGAAAAATTTTTCAACTAGCTGTAAGTGGAATTCTGTCTTAAGGCAATTAAGGCATCGTGCCTTAAGGCAAATTGCTGGAACTTCCCGTACCAAAATTTTTTTTTTAAAAACGATTAAGATTTTTGAAAAAAATTTACTTTGAAAAAATAAGATTTTTGAGATTTTTTGATATTGGACAAAAAATTACTTTTTTTTGAAAAAAAAAAAATTTTTTTTATTTTTTTTTTTTTAAAAAAAATGTTTTATTTTATTTTGACATATTTTGGAAGATCTAAACTTTTTTTCAGAGCAATCGTACTGCTTTAACTGCATAAAGACGAAATATCAAAGCCCGTAAGCGCCGCGTCGCCGTCTAACGCGTAAACATTGGTACGGAACCCATAGAAATGTAAAAAAAATTTATACTTATTGTTAAAATCTCTATAAAATATTTGATAATTTGATGTGCATATGTCTAATGATCATTTTTAAACCGCCAAATGGCATTTTTTTTTACTTTTTTCATCAGATCTCCGAAACCGTTAGACCTGCCTTCATGAAAATTTGATCAATTCTTTATCTTGTCAATACAAGTAAAATGTTTTTTGAAATATTCAAATCGGACGCTCCGTTCTCTTAAAAACTGAGTTACCGTTTTCGGCACTTTTTGCCCCGTATCTTTGGAACGGCTAGACCTGCTTTCGCCAAAAACTAATCAGCACGTCTCCTTATTAATACGAATCGAATGTTTTTTGAATTATTCAAATCGGTTGATCCGTGTTCCCGAAATCGTCGACGAAAATTTGTATCCGCACATACATACACACACGCACATACATACATACATACATACATACATACATACATACATACACACACACACACACACACACACACACATACATCCATTTTTTCTAAGGTATGCCAAAATGTTCAGAAACCTCTGAAACGTAAAGATATATAAACATTTTCATTTTCGATTTTTTTGCGATTACTATAACTTGCCCTACGGGAAGTTAAAAATTTTGCAGAGCGTCGAGTTTTCAATGAAAAATAATACGAATTTTCATTTTTAATTTATTTGTCGCTAAGTTATACCTAAAATTTTTTTTTTAATTTTCAAAATTTTTTCTATGCTATTTCCATGCAAAGTTTGATTGGATTGCGCACTATCTAAAAGTGAATATTAAGAGCTAAAACTTTCAGAGAATTGTTTTTTATCAATTTGGAACCATTTGAGCACTTGAAAGCAAGGAAATTTGTAAATGTCTATATTAAGGACCACCCTAATGTACACAAAAATATTTTTTGATCATTGCATTTTATTTGGTTTCTTAAAAACTTCAACACGTTAATTGCCACGTCAGTCATATGTGTCTGACGCTAAGAATTTCTACATCAGCCATATCAGATATATATGTCTGACATACGAAATTGATGGACAAATAAAAACCGTTTTAATATGGCCATGCCAGCCAAATGTGTGTGACGTAAAACATAGTGTTTTTCCAGGAATTTTGGCAAAAACAAAATATTTTTTTTGATACCTTAAGTTTTCTTTCCTTGATACATTATAAACTAAATTTTCTAAAAAAAATACCATGGCCCATGTGACTTTTTTCTAATAATACGCCGATTAACTTGTTAAATTATTGTATTTTTTTTTTAATTATTTATTTTATTGGTAAGAATTAAAAAATTAATAGTGTGTCTAAAGATGAAATATCTATTAGACACACTATTGAACTAGTAATAGTATTCGAACATAAATTTTTCTATTTATAATCTTCCAATATTATGCTACTGCAAATATTTTTAGTCAACTATAGTGTTAATTGTAACAGATTTAATTGCAATTAATTTTCTACTTTTCTTTTTACAACGCAGAAAAATAATGTTTTTTTATAAACAAACAGTTATATCACGGAATTTTTTTCACCTCGTTCGACATTCACTAAATCTTTATATACACAAACTCATTAGATAGGCGTGTCGGACAAATATATTATCAAATTATATTTCCCCAAAAATCGATACTAACGAAACAACTTTATCTATGATTTTCTCGCGTGAATATTCATAATTAATTACGAAGTACGATAATGAAGCAACTTTACGAGCTTTACGGGGGTTCGATTTGAAAGCGTTATTAATATATAAAGGCGAACACATATGAATAGAATAACGATCAATTTATAACATGGTTAAATAACCTCGAGGGCAGGTTGTTAAAATTAGTTATGGAGACATGTATTTGCTTGCAGAGCCCTCAATTGCTTATTTATACAGGAAATTCATGGTGTTGAATTAAAAGTCCAAATACATATGGCCATAGAAAATATAATTGAGATAAGCCACTGTAATTTATATAAAATCATATATTTTCAAAAATAATTAAAGTTTATATATTAAAATGCTATTCTGTATATACAAAATGATTCATCATTATTTCTTACCGTATCTACGCCCACCAGTAGGAGATCAAGTGCCAAAACAGCAGCCAATTTTGGATTTGATGTCTCGTTTAGGATTTTCTGAACTATAGAGTAATTACCAGAGGCATTTGATTTGTCCATATTTTCCATCGCTATCGATATGTACTTCATGCACAATCTGTAGTGTTTGCAAATAGCTTAATGTGATTTTAATGCATTCGGAATGCTATGCTATCAAGTTAACAGAACTTAATGTTCTATTATATTATATATAATGTGCTGCTAGTCCTATAGTTAAGCATACATTGACTGTATGATTCAAGTAAATGTTAAAAATAACTATAATCCCGATATAAAAATCTATTCTAAAGCACTTACTCTCTGAACTCATCTAAAGCTCCTATATATTTCCTATAACTCTTCGTGGGATAAATTCTCCAAAGAGGTACTCGAAGCTCTACTTCAGCAACGTTCCAGAAGAATGTGTTTATAGCGCTTATAATTCTTTGTGGTTCTGAATTTGGTTCCAAATCCCGCGATAAGCATCCTAGTCTTGTATCTAATGCCACCCGTCCAATTGCTAAATTAAAAAATGAATTATTATTTTGAACAATACCTAGTTTGCATAATTAAGTTCCATTTATAATGCAGTCGTGATAATCTATTGTTTAACGTGAACTAACATTTTTAATTTGTGCTGGACTACTATAAAAAGCTTTATTATATATGCCATGAGCTTTATACGTGCTTTCAGTTGAAGCTCGAAAACTTTAATTTAAAATGTATTCAACTAATGCATTCATACTCACATTCTAAAGCCCATTTGTATAGTTCACCTAAAAAGTTTCCAGGTAATTCCTGATTTCCATCTCTCATCTCATGAATCCTTAAAAATTCATTTTATATATAACGTATTTGCTCGAATGAAGTTATTACATTACATACCATAATTTTTATAATGACTTAGTTTCATATATAGGTTATGCATCTAATTAAATATATTAGAAAAATCATACAGAAGTTTGATTTGATTCTTTTTATATTAAAATTCAAATATTAAAAAGCAAAATTCTCCCAAATATTTATATAAATAAATCTTTACCTCCAAGTATAATGGTATTTCGATCAACTACATATAGAACAATTAATAAAAGTCTTTATCATTTTTTTTCTCTACTATTATTACCTTTGCATAAAATCTCCTGCAATTTCATCCAGAGGTCCAACAAATCGTTTTGCAGTTGCAGGTTGCAACATTAGTTGTTGAACTTGAGCTCTAAATGCGTCCCATTTTTCACCATGCCTGCATTGCATTTAATTATAATTTTAATCAATATTAATTAAATAATGATGTTGAACATCTAAAGTACTATGAGTCCATAATTTAAATTAATATTATTACTTACACTCCAATGATACCAGCGTCTTTACCAAAAAAATCCTTGCGCAGCACTGCTTTATAGTGATGCAAAGAAGGCATAGATGGTCTGTGTGGAAGAGTTTCTTCTCTCCTGAAAACACGTCGAATTTCCTCACCATCAAAAACGAATAAGAGGTCTGGATGACCCACTAATCCACCAACACGGACCACATTTCCAAAATCCTTATGTAGAGACATCATTACTTTATCCAATTCATGAATCTTGTATTGTCCTGAAATAGTAGAAATAGTTAATTATTCTGTGGCTTTAAATTTATCATCTATTGCTTAATTTTATATTTTCTTGTGGAAATATTTTGCTTGTGAAATTTATTGGGTTTCGTTTTTAAGCAGATTAATTAACACAGTGTATTTACGAACTCATAATGAATTGTTTTTCTTACTTCTCGAGACTTGTTAATTTGAATATCTAATATTTAAGAAAATAATCAAACGTTTTTGGCTCTAGGTTTGCTCTGCAGTTTCTAATCTTAGAGCAATATGTGTTTTTTAATGAAACTTTTTTTGGTATTTAGATTTTATATTTAAAAAAAAAATGAATATCAATTTACAGGTAACTATTTTATGTTTTTTTCATTAGTAAGCTGCTGAAGCCAATGGTTCTGATATAGAAGTCTCAAACATACTATCAAATCATTCTCAAGAATATATTTTTTATAATTTTCAAAAAGTTTGGAAAATAAATTATATGCTAGGTTTCTAGCTAATATAAAAAAGTAGATAATTTATTACTATTTAATGCCATGATACAATAATAGTAATGATCTTTGGAATAAATTCTAATTTATGTTTTTATTTATTTATTCGAATAAAAATTTCTTTTATCATTAGAATACTAAAATATTAATTTCGCCTATTGAGGTACATAGCTTAAATTATATCTTTTTATTTTATTCCCTGGCACATGACATTTGGTCTAATTATCTATTTTGTGCAATCATATTGTTATATTTAAAACTTTAAAATCAATATATAAATAAATATGCTAATTATAACAGACTACTTAGTTCTATTTTATGCTTTATTTTTATGTACATAAATTGTTATGAATTTATCAGCTCATATTCTGCAGACAGAATGATTGATTTAATAAATAACTAATAATAAAATGAAGCATTTTAATTTTTTATTTTATTATTTAAATACGTATTTTGTATAAATTTTTATGCCACTATGCATGAAATTTAAGCGTTTTAGGTTTCAGGATAATAATCATCGTTTAATGAGCTTCCGAAAGTTTAGAAATACTTTTAGAGGTTTTAGCCTAATTGGCAGATAAGGTATATATATAATATAGAAATTAGAGAGCTTATTAATGAAGACACTTAATTTTTAGTGATTTATTAAAAAAGTTTGAAAAATGTTAAAATTAGTTCTGAATTTTTGTGACCTACATTCTAAATGATCGTTTATTTTGTAAATGCTATCAGTTTTATATATGAAAATAATTGAACACTTTTCGGTACTTTAAACTTGTTATATATTTTTTATTTATTCATGAACGTGATGAACCGAGTCGATTTTGATGGGATATAAATTTGCGTTTTATAGCTTTTAAAATAATTGAATTAAATTGTATTAAAATTATGTAAAGAAAATTTGTTAACTGTTGGGAATAGGAAACCTTTATCAACATTAATGCTTAATATAAATTATAACATTAAATAGTTATATAGCTGTAAATGATGTTAATTATAACCAATCGTTCAATTTATTTATTTAATTATTTAATTAGACTGTAATTTATATTCGAAACGTTGAATGCAATTTATATTTGAAAGAGCATTTTGTATATTAAATACACTTATTTTTGCATTTTATATGAATATTTCAATAGACAAAATCCAGTAAATTTATTTTACTAGTTTATATGATCAGTAAATTTAATGATGGCAACAAATTTTTACAGTAACATCATGAAAAAAATTAAGTCTGTAATTTTAAACCACTTTGTAATTTTTAAGTGAAAATTGATTAATGTTTTTTTAATATTCAAGTTCTTTCACGAAATTAACCCTAAATTGCAGGATAGCAAAGGTGAACGAGCTTTTAAAGTTTTTAAAAATGTTTCAGTAAAAGAAACTGATCTACATTTGATCATTATAAAATGTATTTCAAATTTAATTTCGCCCTAAATAGTAACAGCTTATAACCTTATTTTAATAAATCACATATGTTTTTTCTTTCAATATTTCTTCTATGGCGGGCTTATATGATGTTTAATGTAACCAATTATTTAATTTTTTCATTTAATCAGACTGTAAATTACGCCTGTATATAGGTGTAATTTACAGTCTGATTAAATGAAAAAATTAAATAATTGGTTACATTAAACATCATATAAGCCCGCCATATATATATATATATATATATATGAATTTCACATAGGTATTTGAACTGACATAGGTAAATCTGGGTTATAAGATAGGTAATTTTATTATGATGATGGCATTATAGACCATCTTCAAAATTGAAAACTTTAATATAAAACTATTTTATTACTTTTCAAAAATCGATTATTATCTCAGAGATAATTGAGTACTCATTAAAGCAAGAAAGTAAGTTAATTGTTTTAGAGATGAACTTAGAACTTTATATTTTTATTAAGCTTTTTATACTAATGCTCTTATTTATTTTATATGGTGTTTCTTTAAGCAAAATTTTAGTTTCATTATGCTGACCTACTTTTTGCTATTAGAAAATACATTTTGACTATAACCTAATCCTAATCTTTCTTGAGCAAATTTATTATGTAAAAATTGATTCTCGGTAATGATTTAGCGATGAATTGTATATGGTCTGTAATTTTTTAAGTAGAAGTAAGAAATGCTGACTTTCTTCATATTATTAGAAAATGTATTTGATTATTGATTTCAACCCTGCACAGTATCTTTCGAAATAATCAAGAATCCCTAAAAAACTTATAACCTAATTTTAATATATCAAATGCCTCCTTTTCCCTCAATATATCACCTACGAAGGGTGCAAATCTCCAAGTATTTCCTATTAAGACATCTTAAAAATTGAAAACTTCAATATGAAACCACTCTATCATTTTTCAAAAATTGATTGTTATATCAGAAGTAATTGAGTACTTTATTAAAGTATAAACCTAAAATAAAGTAAGAAAGTAAGTTCATTGTTTTAGAGATGAACTCAGATCTTTAAGCAGTTTTTAAGCAAAATTATAAGTATAAGGTGCTGACCTACTTTCTGTTATTAAAAATATATTTGACTATAACCTAATCATAATTCTTCTTGATCAAAATTATTATGTAAAAAAAGATTATCGGTAAGCTCATTGATTTAGGAATGAATATGGTCTTTAATTTTTTAAGCAAAACTTGAAGTAAGAAATGTTGACTTTCTTCATATCATTAGAAAATGTATTTGGTTATTGATTTTGACCCTGCACAGTATCTTTCGAAATAATCAAAAATCCTTAAAAAAACCTAATTCTAATAAATCAAATTCCTCTTTTCCCTCAATAAATCACCTATGAAGGGTGCAAATCTCCAAGCATTTCCTATTAATTATATGGTCTTTAATTTTTTAAGCAAATTTTGAAGTAAAAAATGCTGACTTTCTTCATATTATTAGAAAATGTATTTTACTATTGATTTTGACCCTGCACAGTATCTATCGAAATAATCAAAAATCCTTAAAAAAAACCTTATAACCTAATTCTAATAAATCAAATTCCTCTTTCTCCCTCAATATATCACCTATGAAGGGTGCAAATCTCCAAGCAATTTCTATTAATTATATGGTCTTTAATTTTTTAAGCAAATTTTGAAGTAAGAAATGCTGATATTCTTTATATTACTAGAAAACGTATTTGATTATTGATTTTTACCCTGCACAGTATCTTTCGAAATAATCAAAAATCCTTAAAAAACCTTATAACCTAATTCTAATAAATCAAATTCCTCTTTTCCCTCAATATATCACCTATGAAGGGTGCAAATCTCCAAGCATTTCCTATTAAGGGCAGCTCCTTGGGTCCCGGAATCTCTTCGTAGGCCTTGGGATAGGTCCTCGTCGTTTCTTCCACCTTCTTATCCTGTCCGTGGATTATTCCTGTTAGCTCATCAGGCGTTATCGTTATCGCCGAAGAGAAACTCTTGCTAACTCGCAAAACCTTGCTTGATGTTCTGCTGGCAGCGTTAACCGACATCCTGCCTCAAGATCTGTCGATTAGATAGATGATAATTAATTGCTCTTTATCACGGTAATTAGATGATCTAGATAAAGAGGTGTTGAGTTGATATAAAGTTCGGGATAGATTAATCAAACGGAACGTAAAATAAATTTTGAAGGGTCTGAGGAATATTTTTGTAGTAATTAGCATGCGACTGCAAAGCGTTGATGATCAATCAGTTCTCTTTGCGGAACGTCTTTTTTTTATTATCTCTTTTATTTACAACTGTCCAGTAAAGGACATTCAATAAATTTGATGAATTTCCAATAGTCGGCCGAAAAGGGACATTGTATACTACTCAGTAGTTGTTTTTCCATGCGATATAAAATTCACAATATTTTATTGATAATTATACAATTTTAACAATTCACTTATTAAAAAAATTCTTATAAATAATGATTAAGTTATTTCCATTTTTTATCAGGAGAGTTGATGGCTTAAATCCAGTGGCGCTTTTCTTTTCAATCATCTTGGATAGTTTTCTGTTATCAAGGAGTTTGCTAATGAATTTGAGGAAATAAATTGAATTACTGCACTTATTCGGCGTTTCAACTCATCTGAATTGAATGAGACCAAATTTGGAAAATGTGTATGTGTGTTTGTGTGTGAACCGATTTTTGACCTGTCGACGACATTTTGTAGAAAACGACTAGACTGATTTCAAAACTTTTTAAAAGCCATTCGATGAAAGTCAAAAAAGTGTAACATGTTTCGTCTACGTTTAAGCACACAATTTTAATTTTATTTTAAAAATTCAAAAACTATTCGAAAGGTACTGGTTTGGAATGGCGTTGGTTAAATTTTGGTAAAGATCGACCGAGTTGATTCTTCGTAATTAAATATTGGGTTTTTTGTTTGACGATTTTAATGAAACTCTATATAGCAGTAGGTTATGATAGGTCTGTAATAACATACTAAAATATAGTAGAGTTATGATAGGTGGTTGAATTACAAAAAAAACTATGAAAGTGTAGAATTTTGTAGAGCGATTTTTATCAGAGTCTATACCGAAAGTCTATATATGTTTTCTGTTTCAGGTAGCTATAGATTACAGTTGACGTCTACATTTTGATAAAATACATTTTTAGAACTCAAAATAGATGAGATAATTTTTTTTATTTGCATAGTTTTATTGTCAATTAAAATAATATACATTTTTTAAGACAATATTCTGGGTGTTAATGCATTTAAGAGATTATCTCCTATGAGATATATCTCTCTTTTTTTATTTTTTGACATTTTATTTAAGATCGTATGGTTATTTTTTTTCAATCTTCCTGTGGGATATTTGAGATAAAAATTGGGAAACAAATTAGTTATCTAATTTAGTTAAATTAGTTATATAATATTTACAGATATTATAAGTATCTTTGAAATATATTAATTGGAAATGGTATTGAAGAGCAAATTCAGCACAAATATAATAAATTATAATATATTATACATAATATGCTCCTAGTATGATCATGCTTCTAATGCAATTGATTTAGTGAAAACATTTTTTTTAAATAATAGTTGAAATGTTTTCCTCAATAGCTGAAATTCTTATTTATTAGATTTAGTGGAATATGTGTTCCACTATGGGTATATGTATATACTATATACGTTGAAATAAAAAAAATATATAATAGTTGAAACTTTTGCCCTAATAGCTAAAATTCTTATTTATTAGATTTAGTGGAATAAGCATTCCACTATAGGTTTATGTATATACTAAATACGTATATATGGAGAAGTTTATGCAATTTTCTTCAAGACAAAATGATACTTACAACTAGTATAATAAACCCTTTCGACCCAGTTTTTTTTTTAATATTTTTATTCAAAAGACTGGCGAATTTCTAGATAGTAGATTTCTGAAATATTTTTTTAACCGTTTGCAGTGAATTTAAATTAGTTACAAAAATATTGTAATAAAAATAATTGTGCGCGTAATGAATTACAATTAGAAAAAACTGCATTTCACAATTTCCCTATTTTTTTTTTTTTGATAGAGCAATATACATAGATTATTTTTTCTTTGATTATATTTATGGCTGGCGTATACTAAAAGTTATAATAAAGTTTTATGTACAATACACTGATATAAAATCTGTGAATAACATACGTACAATGTGTTCTGATTAATATTACGAATGCGTATTAAATTTGTCTAGACAAAACATTACGTGAATACAGTCCATCAATGGATCACTGAACTTTTCCATAAAATTAATCTGGCTGTTTTTCGCACTGATATTGAGGGATTATTGATAATGAAATAAATTTTATCTTTAGTTTCAGTGTAATTTTCGGCAGTTGTACATAAAGTAATTATTTTCTTGAAAAATATCATAATTCTTTAGGGCATTTCATCTTCCTCCTCTGACTTTTATTGATGATATTGAAATGTCGACACATGCGTGCTTTTTTTTACTTCTCATAACGAAATCATGAACTCACATACGCAATCTTAAACCGTCGTACCCAAAAAATTGAAAAAGGTCATAAATCGATTATATAACATTAACATTTTATTCCGAAGACCGACCTATTTATCCCACTAAGCACTCGCATCTCTTCGTTACGGCCGACTGTGTGTTTATTATTTTTATTCGATTTCATAATCCAGGTCAAATTAACATATTCAGGAAATGCGGAGATTTTATGTTGTGTGATTCACAGATTTATGTTAATTCAATGTTAGTAAATATATAAGAAACCACGATCTTTCTACGAGATTTTCAATGCTACGACATTGCCATCGTAAAATATCGATTCGGTTTCTGCGGACGACCGCAGAATTTAGACTATGTGGACCAGAAGTATTTGATGAGATGAACTGGCAGGAGTCTTTAGTTGTTCATTTCAAGTTTAATAAAAAATAATTATGAATTCATTAGAAATTTGTACTAAAAAATAAAGTTAATCAAAAAATAAACGTGGAAAATACGTCGGCCAATTTTCAAATGAGACTTTTTGTGATGGATGATTTTTGAGATGCTATTTCATAGACAGAAGAATTCTTTATTGTTCTTTAAAATAATATTTGTATAATTAAAATTCAAATAAAAATAAAATAGTATATGCAATTAAAATTCTAATCGAATTCATTCACTAAACATTCAGGACAAATATAATACATTATAATATATTAAATTTAATATGCTTCTAATATGATCATGCTTGTAGTGCAATTAGTTTAGTAGTGCGTTTATTTATAATTTTAGACCAAATAATTCACAACTGTTAATTTAATTCCTTATAATTTTACTACAAATATATTTTTGGTAATTATGTGATTCATATAAAAGCACTTTACAGTTTTAAGAGTGAAATTAAAAAAAAAGGCTTTTTCCTCGAGTTATTTCAATGAAAGTAAAACTTTTACCTCAAAATTGTTTGTTAGGTTTTTGTTTCAAATCAACGGTTTCATTTTACCTTATTTAGGCAGCATTTCAAGAAGAAGATACTACTTAATTTTTTATAATTATTAGTTGATTATTGGTTTATTATCAAGTAAAAATTGATTATCGGCAAGTTTATTGCTTTAAACATAAAATTTTAATTTTGTAAGCTTAAGTTGAACTAATGGTGACTTTCTTCATATTATTATAAATATTATTTGACTATTAATTTTGAGTCTGCATAGTATCCTTAAAAAACTGATAACCTATTATTAATGAATGAAAATTGTCCTTTTCCGTTAACGTATTACCTGATAAGGGTGCAAATCTCAAATCATTTTTTATACAATTAAATAGTATGTTTCTCATATTTGTTCATGCTTTAAGCCCAATAACTGAAAATTAAATTTCTTCTAATTTTACTACAAATAAATTATGGGAATTATCTAGTTGTCGTTTAATGTCTTTGATATTATATTACAAAAAATTCTCATTTTTGTTATTTATTGTCATTATGAAGCTAAGAGTTAGAAGTCATTAGGACAAAACTAATTAATAAATTCCAGTTAAATTACATCTTTAAATGCGAATATATAAAAAATGCAATTCAATTAACACATTTATGCATTACTGTTGCAAAATAGTAATAGATCCGTATAATTTCGAAACATATTTATATTTCAAACTTGCCAATTGTATTTCAACTATATATATTTTCAACTCGATTTCCAACATTTAACAAATCTCGTTACGGTTTTATTATTATTTTCAAATTTAATCACTATATTTTTACAACATAGCTAACGATGTGTCTACTCAAAATTCAATTATACTTCTTGATCACTTGAGCTAAACAAATTATTGCACAAATGTGTGAATATTCAAGGTTTTAATTAACCTCTTGTTGTCCGTTAGAAATGTATTGAATGTTGCCATTATGAAGTTCTTCTCTATAATTGACAACCGACACATGAAATGAACTTTTTAATCGAATTGATGGACAGTAAATCTTTGTAATAATATTTCTATGATTGATTTTTTGATTGTGTTAGATTTATTATTTATTCATGGATATGTCAAGGCTGCGGCAGTGGAATAGAAACTTGGAAGGAACTAGGGCGCGAATATAGGAATTTTCTTGCTAATATCGAAAATGATTAAATCATATTGTGAAATTATTTTGAAGGATAATATGAAGTGGACTCTTTGTATTTCAGAGTTTAAAAGTCTCAAAAAGAATTGATTGAATTTTTTTGCAGGACATTTCAGAAATATACTTGCCGGTGGTAACTATCTTAGGTGAAAATTTCGCACTTTATAGATACACCCTTCGGAATAAAATTATTGTATGATAATGCTAATAAATAATAAATGGATTTTTTTGATATAGACCAGGGCAATATCGATTTTTCCGTTGATCGATCACACATTGTTTCTTCGTGCAGTGTATAGTAGTAGTAGAAACATATTTTAGGGAAATAATTGTTCCATTATTTTTATCAGATTTTCTATTCCCATTGCGCCCTAGAATTTCATGTCAGTTAACCGGCACAGTCATAAAGAGGTCATAAATTCACTTCCTTCAATATG